CTCACTCCTGGGCTGCCAGGCGTGCCCGCGCCGCGCGCTCCCCTCCGCTGCCCGTGCCGCCGCTCCGCAGCGCGTCCTCTCTTTCGGCTCTCGAGCTCGGGCGGCGCGCACAGGGATGGCGGAGGGAGCTGTAGAGAGCGAGAACGCGCTGGGAAAGAGGAGCGCGCCCCTCCGCATGTCAGCCGGGGGCTCGGGAGTGCGCCTCAATCATCCATCAAGGGAGCCGGGAGCGCGCTCACCTGTGGCTGAGAGAGAGAGTAAAAAAAAAAAAAATTGGGTGAGAATTTTGTGAGGTGGGGAGACCCCCCCCAAAAAAAATCTTTCCAGAACCCGCCAGCTGGTGACTGACAGTCCTTTGCTGGACGCTTGTTATTTATATCCTCATCAAAGCCTGTGAGGGATTGGCAGAATTCAAAGTTTTTGTTTCCCCAAAAATGTACACGAAAATGAGGAGATTTTGGCAAAATTCCACCATTTGAGTAAAACGAAGGTGGTTTTTAAGGGTGCAATCGGCAAGTAAGGCGACAGTACACAAAAAAACAAGCAAATTCACCAAATAAGTACAAAAACAAATATAAATAATATTCAATTATTATGAGCACTCAAAAAAAAAACCACATACACCCCCTTTCAGGGACCGTTCATATTATTGCATTGTGTTACATGCATGGCACGACATCGCAACGTGTGGGGTAAATAGGAGTTGACGCCTGGAATTGTTTGGCCCCTGGAAGGCTCATGGGCCCTCAGCCTTGGTGCTACATTATGGCTGCCTGTGTCCCTGGAGGGCGATTTCACCCCTTTTATTTGTCCCGGTGACCATTGTCCGCGGGACGCAAAGTGGTGGAAAAAAATTCAAAAGGATGAAGTTAAAAATGTCAATTTAAAGGAGAACTATGAGGTCAGGTCTTTTCCCCATAGTTCTCCTTAGGGTAACGGGAGGACACAAACTAGCGTCCTCCCGTCACCCTAGGCTAAGTATACCGCGAGCTGTAGCTCCCTATATACTGAGACGCCGCAGTATACCGCGAGCAGCTACTGAGACACCGCCGCTGAAGCAGAATGATGGGGCAGCATTATTACTTTTATTGTATTGTTATTTATATTATTATGTTATTGTGGACTTTCATGTATTTTGTTTATAAAGGGATCGGTATTTGTAAACAAAATATTTTATCCCCTACCAACCAACAATAATTCTGGCTCCTCCCACAGACTGACCGTGTGGTACACAGATGAGACCTGTCACTTTAAGAAGGTGCTCCTAACGACAACTTGTTATGTATATAAAAGACACCCGTCCACAGAATCTCTTTCTTTCATTCACACCTCCCCCACCATGCAGGGCCGGTGCAAGGATTTTTGCCAATTCAGGCGAAGGTGCATTCCCCCCCACGCAAACGGATGCACCTACGCACGCCTACTTGATAATATAATGTATTGCTGGGACTTGTAGTCCTGCATAGCTGGGGGTATTCAATGCAGAATACCACCAGCTATGCAGGACTACAAGTCCCAGCAATACATTCAAAATGTAAATAATCA